CACAGAACAGGGCTGCGAGTCGAAGGACGTATAGGGTCTTGACTGTTCAACATTAACAACAGCCATCATAACCACCAGCAAATATCGATTCCCAGTCGTCAGAGTTAACAATCAGGTGCATCAACTCGGGTGCATTTTACATGCTGGTGCTCCCGATTCCAAACCGGGACAGCGGCACACGAGTGTAGTCTTACCTGACATGCATGCCTCACTTACTGCTATATACAGCAAGAGTATTCGCAATCTACTGAGCTGATATCGTTAAATGTGGTTTAAGTGTTAAAATGTTGAAATTCTGGCATCAACATCCGACTTGAAAACATCAGACACTTCTTTAAGTGTCATTTTCTTCTCAAAGCAATGGCAAGTATAATAATAAACTGCTACTACAGCTTCAACTGCCTAACAGAGATAACAATAACTGCGGCAATGCTGATAGAACCAGCTTTAAAAAATAGAAAAAAAACCCTTCTTTTTTTCTCTCTTTCGCAAAACCACTCGTTTAATCATTCTGCGTTTCAACTGTCTTGGGTGACAGGTTACACCGTGTACTCTGTTCAGCAGCCAAAATTTTCACACTGGGACGCCCTCTCCTTCACCGATGGACGCCAGCTACTCCCTTGAACATCCGACATTTACAGAAGAAGTACCGTCCTTACTGTCTAACAACTCGTCCAGTTCATTATCCTGCGCCTCTGCTGCCGCCGCCATCTTGAAAGGTGCCCTGGTTAGGTGATGTCAGCGCGGAAGTCCGATGCCGGCCCTTTGAATTCTGGGTGCTGTAGTTTTTTTTCCGATCTATTTTAAACGGGTTTTATTCCAACTGGGCATATAATGAACTATTAACAGTGCAATAATGCATAATATAAAATCTGCATGTATAAAACAAAGTATTCAATACAATCATACAGTACAAAGAGACAATAAAAAATTGTAAAAATTGTAAGAGATCAGGATTACAAAATTGCAATCCGCAGCATTACAATTCGTTCGAGGCAAAAACAAAAAGTTTTCACAGACTTAAAAATAAGTGGAGATTCCAGCAGTGTCATGAGCCCTTAAAGGAAGAATATGCAATACCAGTACTAAGTTATTATTTTTAATAATTAAAGTTATGAGGAGCTCCACTCTTTAAAATCCCCCCGCCCAAAAAATTACCTGGGAACAGGCTAGTTGGAAAAAAAAACA